TCTTTCTCTCTCCATCTATGTCACTCACTGATCGATCCACCATTGAAATACACAACAAATTTATGTAGGAGAAAATACAAACACTGTATTTTTCTTCACATCATCTTACAAAATGTTTCTCATCAGATTGTGTCAAGAAAAAAAGCGAATGTCTATTTTCTCGTTGCTTTACATCTTGTGTGTGTGCGTGTGTGTGTGTCATGTGGTGTTGTAAACAATTAGACGCGTGTGTGCGCACACACACACACACCTACATGCATATATATTAAAATGAGCAAATTATTATTATTATTACTACTACTAATAATAATAATATGTAATGATTTCTATTTTTCTATACTAATGATTTCCCTGAGAACAGATTTACTTGTTAGAGTAATATATATATATATATATATATATATATATATATATATATATATATATATATATATATACAAAAATCAAGAGTAATTTTCATTTTGCATCTCATTATTCATAGCCGCTGTGTGCTGCGCATTTGGTTTCGTCTTTTTATTTACTTATTTGTTATGTTTTTTTGTTTTTTTTTGTGTTTTCGATTTTTTTGTTGCTGTTTTTTTTCCTTGTTGTGTTTTGTTTTACTACTACTACTACTACTACTACTACTACTACCGGACGGTTGGTTATTTTCTGTCCCCCCCCCGTTTTCTTTCATTTTGTGTTTTTTTCTCTTCCCCCCTTTTTTTTCTTTCGTTGTTTTCTGTTTTTTTTGATTTAAAATTATAAACGAGCCGAAAAAAAAGTACTCAAAACACGAAATCACGTAATCTATAAAGTAAAAAAGAAAAGAAACACATTTATTAGATTTTTCATTGATATTGAAATGTGTCTTTCAATTTGATCTGTATTATTGTTTTTTGATATAATCAATAACTAACTCGAAGGTGGGGGGTTGAGGCACGTAGTAGTGACTCTTTATGTAATTATTGTTTAAATTTTCAAAAGTAGCTTAGAAAGAGTTCAATGTTCAAGATTTCACAATAAGGCTTACAATTTATCACGTGTAATTTCATTGAATCATTTGACCGCAAACAGATTTGAAATAAAAGCAAACTGTTAGATATTATTATTATTATTATTAGTTTTTATCAACTGACTAATGAAATAATCCGAAATAATTTAATTTTAATGTGATTATGAAGAAACTGTAAATTTTCTTTTCTTACTGATGCACTCAGAAAAATATATTTGACCCACTAAGTTAACTTAAGCTGTTAGCCAATTCTGTTATTACTGTATTCAGATCGATAAGTGTAAACGTGTTTCAGCATTATTTTAGACAGTATGGGTTGTACACTTTAATAAATTTAGCTGAAATGTCTTATTGAATATTGAAATTTTGTTAAAATTACAGCGTAAAAACGACTTACTTATCATCATTAAGCAAAACACTTAGATAATCACCAGCTGTTTTACGGAATTGCTATCAATGAGAACTTTGATTTTTGCGTCACAAGATAATGGATTCATCAGTCCTACCACATCTCAATATCATCTTTACAATATATGAATAACTGCTAAATCCTAATACTGACAATTTTCGTTGACAAAATTGGATTCCGTCAATCAGTAAAAGACTATTGATATTGCTTAGTTTCAAAGAGGATCCTAACTAAATACAGTTTACTCTTGTATGTATTCTGTATTCCGCAAATCTCCGTCCTCAAACTCCTTCGGCCACGGGAGCTCCTTCCTTCGTGCAGGCAGCGACACCAAATGTAGTGAAGGAGAACACAGGTGAGGGCAACCGAATTGTATTTAACGAAAATTACAGAGTTACTCAGTAAGATAGGAAAACCATATCGTAACCGTTAATTTGCAAATCTTCAATCCATTGTCTGACATTTCACTATTCATGCGTTTCATACAAATTCCATTGTGTTCTAACTCTTCCTTTGTTGATCTTCCCCCATCTTCTGCTGCCAGACATTACGTTTACACTCGCATCATATACTACTTATAAGTAGCGCGCACCACAATACATGAAGTCATTTTGTGTGATGAACATTCGAAGGTCCTCTGTTTTATCTCTAAAACTTACTCAACTTATCTTATTAATTAAACGTATAGTAAAATCCGGAGTCTTCTGATATGAAATGACTAAGTTAAAAACCATTATAAGTCAATAAGGGAGTTAGTTTTATACTGACGTTTTCAATTAGTGCTGTTAAATTGATGTAATAACCTTATTCTAAAATATACTATGTTGTTGGACAAATCAACGAAGGCTATTTTATTATTTATTGGTTGTAATTTCAGGTTGCTTGAAAATATGTGTAAAAAATGGTGTTTTTTATGATTACAGATTAGAGTTTTGCTTTCGTTAGTTAATGGCTTAGCGAGATTTCGTATCATATGATGAGGGTAATAATCATATTCGCCAGTGGTTTGTGTATAACCAGTGCAAACCAGTTCCTATTATCGTACTGAATTGATTTGGTTGTATCGTCTAAGCGAAAATCTAGGACTTTAGTAAGCGCTTTGTGTTCAATGGACATTAAATGATTCTCGTTTACTAGTTTGCTTAACAGGTTCTAACCAGCTCCTCTGAAAACCATGGACATTTATCTCTTTAAGTGTTTTTTTTTTATCGCCTTCAAAAGATTTATAGTGTGATGGAACTGTCGATGCTCATTGGTGATCGTAAGTCTCAGGTATTATGTTCATGAACAGATGAGTCATTCTTAATTATATTTCACTTATTTGAAGTCGTAATGTTACTGTTTAAATTAATAAAAGACTAAGCAAAAATGATCAGATTAAAAACATACAACCAGTCAATGCAGTTACCGTAATCTCCTAGTACTTCGACGTCGGTTGACGTCTGCTGATTGAGGAATAAATGGTGGTCATCAGAGTCAGCGATGTGACATACTCCGTTTAAAGTTATTTGATTGTAATCTGTAACATACTCATAACTAGTATTTTATGTTTGGCACTTTAATTTTAAATAAGGATGACAGGAACTTGACAACATGGATACAAGTTGTCATGGTTACTGAAATCTTCCAATTTAGATAACCATAATGTCACTTTGATAAGGTGCAGGATAGTATTTTTGTTACTGAGATTTCAAGCTGGTAATATTCGAATTTTTAACAAAAATAGCGACTTTGGTTTTGGTCGACAGTTCTTTTGAGTTACAGATGTTCTCCAGTTGTAGAAATTCTACTCTTGCTTCTCAATCCGTGTCTTCACATCTGCATGAGATCTCACTTGTTTATCTTACTGTCGAGGAATGCTCCATAATGCTCACTTGTCGACGGTGCCATATGCTTTCTAAGAAGTCGATGTAAAGTGTCAAGTTCCATCTAATAGATTGTTCAACAATGATCCCTAGTGTCGCTATTTCGTCGGTACGCAACATATTCTTACGGATTCTGGCCTGTTGATGTCGAAGTTCGGTACCTATTGAATCTTTCATTCGTTTTAACAACACTGTTGAAGACTTCACTTGGTACTGATAGTAGAGTAATATCTCTGTAGTTCTCAATTGCTGAAATCTTTCTTTGGTTTCTTAATGAGGTGTCTTTCTTCCCAGTTCTTTGGTACTTTTTCTCCCTTCCAAGCCTTTCTGAAGAGTGTGTGGACCATCATTGCAGTTACTGCTTTGTCTGATGCCAGAGCTTCAGCGAGAATGTTGTCTGGTCCTGCTGCCATGTCACCCTTGATTTGTCTGATAGTTATACTGGTTTCTTTGATTGTTGTGGGGTGACATTTTTAGGAAGGTCTGTAAGTGCTGCTTCGATGACTGGTTGCTTCAGTGGGGCTGGTTTAATACTCTTCAAAATACTCTGCCCACCCGTTTTCTTTTTTCTTGATTGGTCGTTCTGTTTTACTATATTTTATAGCCAGCTTCGCTGTATCATGTGGTTATCTCATGTTTCCTTCTCCTGCATAATTGTTTTCTGTAATTGCTAAATCTTCCACATATTTCCGCTTATCAACTCTAATGCTCCTCTTCACTTGCTTGTTTGCTTCTGTGTATCCAAGATGTCTTGGCTTTTACTGCTGTTGTTAAATTGTTATTAATTGTTGTCTTCATGTTCTTCCTTTGATGAGTCTTATCCAGAGTATCGACAGATATCCATTCCTTTTGATGTTGCTTCTTTTGATCTGGCACCTACTGATATGTTGAATTAATTGCTTCTATAATCCCTTTCCAGTTGTTTCCATGGTAGTTTCCTCCTCTTTGACTAGGCCATGTAGGGCTTGAAACTCATTCCTTAGAGAGCTACCTTGAATTCGTTGAGTTTGTCAGTATCGCTAAGAAAGGTCATATTAAACTTTAAAAAGCTGTCTCATCACTTGTCTACTTCCTCTTTAGTTTCAGTTTCATCTTGACCACCATCAAGTGGTGGTTTAAAGGGATATCAGTTCCTCTCCTTATTCTCACGTCTATCGATGCAGATGAGATCTATATGATTACATATAGTTGTTGTGTAAACGACCACAATGTATATATATGTTTTCAACTTATATATCGACTAATGTGCTACGTTGTTCAGGTCTTCATTTTATAATTAAATTGATGTCGGTTTTCTATGTCATTTAAACACCGTATAACAGAATATCTTTTGTTGGATGTGAAGAAACTAATCAGTTATAAATAACAATAGTTGTTTTCAATCCTTAGATGATAAACATTTATTTTAACTCAGAACATTCTACATACAATATTTGTTGTTATATTTTAGACCTATACACTAGTACCGTACCAATGTTTACATACAATTAAAGTTCGACAGTAATCCAAACCCAGTCTCAAGTGAAGTTTCTAAGATAACAGAAATTATGAGGTAGAATCGATTAGATTATACGTAGCTGAAACCGATTCAGTGTTTTTCATTGTTTATCGCTCTAGTTAGTCGTAACTGTCAAGTTTTCTAAAATAAGAAATCAAAATATTTGCTGTGTTTAGTAAAAATACAACCTTTTAAACTATTGAGTAATGCTTATATTTGACAGTATTATTATTTTTAAAAAGCGTCAATTTCATTTAATGAATTAGTTAAACATTTAATAGAAATTCTATTAGTGCTATTTTGTTTATAAGTTACTAAAATATAGAAATAAACATCAAATGATGGTAACTATGTTAGATTTGAGTAATGGTTTATTTTTGAAATTATTATGACATAAAAATAAATGACAATGCATAAATGGGTCACTCGTACAACAATAAAAGCAACTGACAAATGACATCAGCTGGCGGTATATGAATAACCTGAGTTTGGGATTTTAAATGTGCATACTCCTAAAGATATCAAACTGTAGATTTTCACCAAGTGACAGGTACGATGATGCTCAATCACTGATTGAGTGTCCAATTCAATCTACTCATCATTCAGTACTATTCGTAGATGAATAACTCCTAAATCACCTTATTTCAGAGAATAGTTACTTGCTTAAGTGGATATTTATGGTCAGGATTTCTGGGAAAGAAAAACTTTACCGGACTTAAGTTGGACTAATTCTGAGTGCTACAACCAATAAAATCCTTTCAGAACTTCTTAATTATCCTGATTAGCAGATATTCTTCATGGAAATCGCCCACTTTAAGATAAAGGTGGTCTAGAGTGTTATGATTTTTGAAACAATTTTAGTACTTACACTAATCTACAAGTATTAAAACTGGACGAATCAAATCTCAGAGTTATATCTGTGAAAATTATTTTTTCTATAATAATGAGAACAAAAAATTCTTGATCTTATATTGGGGTCCGTGTGGTTGAAACGCAATTACGGGAGAGAATTTGATTTCTTTTGTAGGATTAGTGGATATTTCTCCTAGACTGTCTATCTAGAATCTATTATCGGTTAATTACTGACACAATGCTAGTGAGATAACAGGCGAGAACAACACTTAACGACTATTGGTCACGACTGAAGTCCTTCAAAGCTCCCTTATATGGCCGCCAGAATAAAACAATACAGATAGTAAGTAACTTGTAACTACACAGTTCTAAATTTCCAGCTTTGCTTAATGTATGTACTAATAGAGCCTTTTCCTCACTTGACACATCTTTTGTTCATGTGTAAAATTCACTACTAAATATGTCTTTGTAGAGATATATTATCATAAAAGACTCCTGTTTGGTGAGCTGTATAGAATTTTCATATTAGATAATTTTAGCATTAAACTAATTATAATAAGCGAAAGTACGCTTTTATGTTGTAATCAATGATGTTGTACATATCATCAATATCATTCAGACCGAAATGGTTTCTCAGAGTTTTATCTAAGATTATTTTAGTTGACATTCTATCATAACAAGAGAGTGATATATCTAAACTGTGGGTTCTGGTATGCTTAATCTAGCATTTGCTTTATTTGCAATTTTATCTCTAACGAGTAGTAGCTAGTATATAGAAATATAAAGTAATCTTGCTTCATATTAATGGTGGGCACTAGGAAAACCAATCGTTGAGAGCACGATTTTAAGACTTATAAACGACAGGTACATTTTAGCTGAAATTATCAATATGAGATTTGTTATTTGAAGGGATATGAAAGCGTAAAATAATGGCAACGAAAGCGAATATTCACATTGTCAACTTAAACATCTGATTATTATACAGTAAGGGACTATATTTATCAAACAACTAAACAATAGTAATAATTCGCATGAAATTAGCTTCTAGTATTATATGGAATATCAGTGTGACGATCAGTGGCAAACAGTGAGAGACATCGTCCCGAATGCTGTCCTAGGCAATGTATCTCAGTCACACCACACACCTGGAAATAGGAGAACATGGGTTAAGCGCAGCACTGAACGCTAGCCACAAGCGAAGAGGAGAACCTGGCATAAGTGGAAGGTCTCCTTGAAGGATTCCAGTCGTGCTTCTTACTTGGAATTAAGAAACAGATGGAATACCAAAGTCGAAGAGGAGAACCTGGCATAAGTGGAAGGTCTCCTTGAAGGATTCCAGTCGTGCTTCTTACTTGGAATTAAGAAACAGATGCAATACCAAAGTCCGAAGTGATCGGAAACGCTTTCAGAAGAAGCTAGCCGTTCGAATACAGGCAAACCCTAAGCATCTGTTTAGGTTCATGACAAAAGGAAGACCTACTAAAAAATGTTTTTTTCCTAAAGGTCCGAATGGGGAAGACCTCACTAACCTAGAGATGGCTGAGATCTTCAACACGAACTACGTCGATCAATTAAACCAGGCATACACATGTTCAGAATACTAAACAACTCAGTGCCGGAGGACAGCTCAGTGAAAACCCGTATTACTCCCCACTTGGTACCAAGGAAACTAAAATCCTTACGTCCAGGAAAGTCACCAGGTTGTGGCAATATTCGCCCCATAGTCTTGAAACAATGTGCCAAAAGCCATCATTTCACCAATATATTACCTGACCAGGCTGTGGTGGCCAATTTCGATGTGTTCTTAATCTTCTTGATTAGCTCGTCCAGATAATCTTTACTATCTAGCGTCTGACGATTTATAAATCAGAAGGTGAACAACAAAGTTTTGAATAACTTTATTTTTGACACACCACAAATAGAAGAGCAGACTACAAGCGCTATGAGATAAAATCGTCATGCGAGCGCCGAAAAGCAGGCAAGCGAAAGAATAGGCGAATGAACGGATGAAGCGATGTGGAGAAGGCTAGTGAGCCAACTCCAAGAGATAAAAGCATGACTAAGAAAATTTATAGCCAGAAAAATATAGACAGACATGTAAGCGAGTAGGCATGCATAAACAT